TGGAAGGCACCAAAGCCCATTCAGTTCCAAGCCCCTGCCCTGGCCAGGAACTCCCTCTCCAGAAGCTCAAGCACTGCAGTGCTGCTGCAGCTTTGGCAAACCCCTCATCATTAAAAAGATGTTTGTAGAGTTGATCCAAACCCAAAGTAGGTGCTGTCTAGGAACAGAGCAGCTCCCAGCCTGGCTGCTCTCCTGCCAAACAGGAGGCTCCCTGGCTGGGCAGGAGCAGCAGCCAAGCTGGCAACAAAAAACCCTCCCGCAAGACACTGAACTAACGTGGACCTGACTCTGCTGGTCCCTCAGAAAGGCCTAAGTTGAGAGCTAAATCCAGCCCTCAGAAATGTACTGAGAATATGGCTTTGCTTTTTTCCTCCTACACACAGCACTCTTATTAAGCACTGCATGGAGCTGGTGTCCATACAGCTGGGAGGAGAGCAGCAAACTTTCAGCTGCAACGTGAGAATCCCGGTTCTTACAAAGCCATTAACAAAGCCTCCAGTTATTTCCAGGAGGGAAAAAAGTATCATGGTTCTCATGAGTCTGCCCATGAGAAAAAAAAATAAATAATTTACATTTCTATCTGGTGGTAGAAGCAAGCAGAGTTCACACTAGAAATAGTAGAAAACACACCTGGGGGTAATTAATGAAAACTATCAAAGGATGGGAAGGCTCCTCTCTTGGTAAAAGGATTGAAATCAGTAATAGCTGGCTTTGTAAAACCACTAATTCACCCAGCCACTGAATACCAATGTAGGCATAACATTGCTAAAAACATTCCTAATTACTAGAGTTTAAGCTACAACAATAAAGTCCAAAGTTTGCTTCCTACAGATGATTTCAAGTTTGTATAAAGTGCTTACTGGAATAAAACCAGTAGCCTATTGCTAAACATGTGTGTATAAAGGTGGAGTTTTTCTGTTGTTTGTTTTTTTTTTTTAATATTTCAGATTTTTTATTAATGTCTCCCTAAATGCTTATTGCAACTTCTTACATGCAGTCAGAGGACAGATATTTTTAATACAATGATAAAATAATGCTCTCTGTAATAAAATGTTTGTTTTCTACCCAAAACCAGTTAAAGGAAAGTTTGTACTGTAAATTGTATAAGCTTTTGAGGATGAAGAAATGCAGGCAGTTATACTACAGATATTTCGTATGTCTTAGTACAAGTACCAGCTGAAGAGTTCTGCAGCAAAATGATGACATTTCTTCTATTACCATCTCTGGTTTTGATCCTCAAATTAAACCTTGAATTTTGCCCTTTTGTTTTTATTTTTAAATGAATAATTCACCAGGTTTATCTAGTTTACATATTAACTGGAATGTAAATAAGCAGCTATGCTATTCCAAAGACAATAACATTTCAATTTCTCTAGAAAAATAAGAGATTTTATGGCACAATAATGCAAACTACAATGCCTCATTTAGAGAACAAATGCATTGTTCTGGTAAAATATTGCAGAATTAACTTGGCTTTGTGAGTATTGATATTGCAACATTATTGTTTGTGTGACAGGGAAAATCCCCACGAGCCACATCAGGCAACACCTGCAGAACAGCTGCACACTCATGGGGACAACACTAACAAACAGTTAGTAATCCACTGGGGGTTAACTTTAAAAGACACTATATCCTACTGCACTAAAACCCTCCACAAAACTCTATTCTGAGTGAAAACAGGCCTTCTAGTTTAATGGATTTCTTTACTCAAAAATAGTTAGACTTGTTTATGTCATCAAAGCAAATCTCCAACACAACCCCACATTCAAGAATTCTTGAAGTCATGTCTCAAGGCAGAACTCTCTGAATTTTTCCAAACTTGAGCAGTTATAGCATAGAATCCAGTCACAGATGAGTTATTAATGACCTACAAAGGAATTAGTGATGGTTGTAATTTTTTAACCTTTCTAATGGAGACTGCAGTATTTAGCATTTGGCCTAATATGTTGCTTTACTTTTATCTATCTTTTCAATCAGGCCGATATCAAGATTCAAGAAAACATCAGCTAAAATAGTGAAAAATAACATATAGGGCAAGCTATAAAATGTCAGTTATAACAACCAAATCATAACCATCCTTGTTTTCTGATTGTTCATCAAAGCTAAGAAAAAAAATCACATTGAATTGGCATCTCTTAAATTGCTTATGAAAATCCACATCTATTGACAGCTGCCTCTACCTCACTCTTTTATGTCTAAAACTTCTCCTGCACTTTTCCAGTACATTTGCCCTGTGCTCTATACAGGAAAGCCACTACACATTTTACAATTTTTAACATAAAAATCGCTGTTGGGTTTGAAGCAAGGAGGAGACAAACCACACACTGTCAGAAATTTCCATGGAGACTCTGTGAGCACTGTTTCCAAGGGCAAGTGTAATGTTCATCTCTGAAGTCTCATGTTAAAATTAGTTGTACAGGTTGGACAAATCAGGAACTGCACATTTGCTAAAAACTCAGTCACATGATACAACACCAGCTCTTCCAGGTAATCCCTACTCTATTTATCTGCTGGAGCAAAACAGCACCTTTTCTTCCTTTTCTGTATAGATCTTTCATTTGTTCTGCTCCAAACATGAATTATTATAATGCCTCATAGATGATACTGAAGTTTTCCCTCCTCCAGAAGATTCCAGACCTGTACACAAAGAAATGATGCCCCGTCCTCCTACCTTTGTGCTCTGCAAAGAAAGGATCTATCTCCCTGTCAAACCTGTCTTTCCACAGTGAGGTTCCCCTCATCTCCAAGACCCCAAGCCACCAAACCTCCTCAAGCAAGAATGAAGGGTCTGCTCTGCCTCTCATTTTCCCCCCTACCAAACTGGACTCTCCCCTCCCTAACGCCCAGCACCTACCACGAGTGTTAAAAATAGCACTAATTAGGACCCTGGTTGCCCATTAACTCTTTTATTATTCATATGACATTTATGATAAATGCCTGATGTTACATACAAATGGTTGAGGTGGCACTTACACACAGAAGCATAAACTTCAGAGTCATGGGAGAAATCATTTAGCAGCAAGGCAGGCTGACTACACCAGGGCATACAACCACTCGCTGGCGTGTAAATTTAAATCTTTTAGTTCAACACAAAAGATAAAGTAGTTTGGCATTCCTGGAAGTGCAGGTGGACTTCTATTTCAACAGTCTTTTGCATCACTGTAAATATGTCTAAAGATGGCTTTCTCCATCCAGCCAGGGCTGTGCACTGCATGTTGGCCATAAAACAGAAAAAAAATCCTGCCTTTCTCCAACAGAAAAGTCTCGTGCAACAGCCAAGTTGTCATTTCTCAGGATTATCATATCCTCTTAATTAAGTTGCAAAATTCAGAACGGAATAACCCCGATGAACATAAATTACACAGAAATGGATTTGATTTGCATGTAATAATGGCTTCTTTCAGAATTAATTACAAATATGCTGGAGTACGGATTAACGTCCTCCTGATTCAGCACTGTATGTGCATGTTTAGCTGCTCTTCTAAGCTAAGGCTAGGAGTAAATTGTCTAGACAATTAATTATAATTCTTCTCTCATTTGCCAAAAAAACAGTAAAGCTTTGTGCAGAATCAGCTACCCCCTTCTTCCACCCCTTCAGAGATCTTTAAAAATCCATGGGCATATTTGTCATTCCATAGTGAATTAAACTGCACATTGCTCACCATCAATTCTATCTGTGCAATCTGCCAGTACAGACTCTTCATACTTCCCGTGGATTAAAAGCCTAACAAGAAACCCACCTTTAAAAATACAGCCTTGTTTCAAAACCCCACCTAATAGGAATAGGGAGAGCTTTGGAAGGATTCCTGCCCAGGGATCACAGCAGTTCCATTTGTAAGCTGGTCTCTAATGCTAAACGCTTCTCCTTAAGTAAACAAACAGCAAGGGAAATGTGCTTGAAGACAGAGAAAAAAATGCATATCTATTTACTTTAGAAGCCTGCAATGCCTGTTCTTTCACAGCTACAGTGTGAGGAAGTGGTGCAACTATTTAAATTCAATCACCATGGGAGTTCAAGGCGCACTCCAAAAAAAGCTGCGTGTTGTACCCTCTCCAGCATGCAAAAGCCAGCTCTGCAGAAATAAACATTGTAACACCAGAAGTATTTTACCAAACCATACATGAGCCTGAAGAACAACACATCAAATAATGTAAAATCAATAGATCTTACAGACAGGGCTTGACCAATCCATCCCAAAAGCCCTATTTTCAGTACCTGACTTCACAGAACCACAGCATCCCTTTGTTCGTCATGAAGAGGTTGTGGGGGGAAGAGGAAGAAAAATCCTAAATCATGATTTTGCTGTAAACTGCCCAGCAACACTCAAAAGGAGAACCAACTTTTTAAACAAAACCTAAAACACCAACGAAAAATTCCTCCAAAATATCAAACGTGAAGATATTTTTGGTATGAATGAACAGAGTATTTAAATATATCCTTTTTATAAAGTAATTTATACTGCAATAATATTAATTGGTTTTTTGGGTTGGTTTTTTTTTTCGGTATTTCAGTGTAGTGTTGGAAAAATTCAATTTCAAGCCAAAGTAATTTGCTTTATTCTCCATGGTTACTAAACGCCACTGGACCATGGATATTTCTGAGTGCAGAAATAGTTGCATAAAAAATCATTAATTTTGGTTACTCCCTGAAAATATTTAGAAGAAACCAGAACTGATAGCCCACAATAAATATTGAAATTCATCTAAATTTCAATAACTGAAAGAAAACTACGACCTCCCAGATATCTCTGAGAGTGTATTCCCAAAGGACAAAAAGAACAACCAGAAAATTCCCAGCCAGCCTGACCATTGTTCTCTGTCACTGCTTTCCTGTATGCTGCATGAAGTTTTAAATTGATCAAGTGAAGCACACCACTGGTGTTAGCCCACAGAACTTGCTACTCAGAGGCATCCCACACTTTTTCCAGAGTCAATTCTCCACCAGGAACATCACTCTTTCCCCAACAGAGCACTGAGAATCAAATTTCAGGATCTCCTACCTCGATCAAAAAGTCTCCAGTTCTCAGGCCAGCTTGCCATGCTACTCCCCCTTCATCCACAGATTCCAAGTACTGCAAAGCAGGAAAGGCTGGAGTTGGGGTGAATTCTTCAATTGGTGTGTCAGCTTTAAAAATAAATACCACATTAAAAAAAGAAAGTTAGGGAGTGCTTGCAAATACCACTTGACTACAGGCCTATCATTGGCCATTCCGATTTAGGGTTAAAAAATGTTGGGTGCTGGAAGTGAGAGAGATGTGCCTCACGGAAGATCAGGATGCTGGGGACAGAGTGCAACCCCCCTGCAATAGCAATCCACAGGTCTTCCTTCCAGAGGGAGAAATACCTGCTCCTTTCCTGACACAAACTAAATCAAGCTGCACCAGGCAATAGCTGGGTTCTGATATTCCAGGATATTCAGTATTGGCTCAAGTAACCCTTTTGTGTGCCTGGCAGAATGCTGTAACTCTGGCAACATCCACCTAAAAATGAATTATGTGCTGGAGCCAGGAGAGAGCATCTGGCCAAACTAGGGGGCTGGGGTGGGTGGCAAAGGATGAAAAAAAATGAACCAGAATTTTTTTTCCCTTCCTAAATTTAGATGCGCATAACAAAGAAGAGACCAGAAGAAATCACTTTTTAGGACAGGAGGCACAGCTGTCCCTGTGACAGCCGTGCCTGCCCCTCTGTGTCACGTACACATGGGCAGAAAAGTCCTTGGGTCTTTCACCTGAGCTGCCCCCGCTGCTACAGAGAAAATCTGGGGGAAACCACTGGGCTCAGCCAGAGGGAGTGAGCCCTGCTCAAAGCACTGATAACCCACACCAACACTCAGAGATAAGGCAGTGCCTTGGGCTTCCCTGCTTCAACTCCAAACATTTCATTTGGCTAAAACTGGCAAAGCTTTCCCAGCCCTGCAAATCCACGGTGGCACCGGTTTAGGCTTAGGGGTGGGGAACAGGGAGAGCAAAAGCCATGTCCCGAGAATGAAGACATGGAATAATTTTCATGCTCAAGCAAGGCAAGGGAGAACCCATGTGAAATGAGGGGGAGCAAGAGATGGGACATACCATCACATATATATGTTCTTTTTTAAAATACAAAGGGAGCAAACTGCACTGAAAGTTAAAAAGCAAAGCATTAAATAGAATGCCTTTTTTAACTCCTAGGAATGCCACCGTGACACATTTTAGCCTACAGAGAAGTGCCGTGCAGCTTAACATATGAACAGCTTTAAAAATGAGCACACTACAGGCCATGCAACATACGTGCAGCTTCTCAAGATATAAAAAAAGATCATATTTTCATACTAAAACTGCACCAATGTCACCTTGCAGAAGATCCACACCTATTTTAAACAAAACATCCCTCTATTGTCTATTCCTATACGCAGCCCTATTCAATCAGGCTGGCATTTGAAATAAAGCAGCAGTTTTTTTGAGGAAAGCAGGTTTCCCACAGTTAAGTAAACTGCACAACAGAACAGATTAATGGCAAAATACTACATCCACCAGCATGAGAAAAATACAGGCAAAACTTTCTCCCCCCAAAACGATTATGCAGTGCTTCTCCTATGTAAAAATGCAAACGGCTTCAGAGAGAAGGTACCGAAATCCATCGGAGTAGTATAGCATACAGAGAATCCTGTTGTCTAGCAACCAAGTGCACCAAGAATAATTTCTGCTTATATTCTGAGATGTATAAATTTCTTCATGCCACTGCACATCACACACACACACTCACACACACACAGAAGCACATACCTTTTGCCCCTCTGAGCACAAATCCAAATCCTTCATTGTCTTTTTTCTGCAGGACCACTGCCTTTTCTTCTATTATGCAGTCACTGTAGAGAGAATTCCGAGGATAGCGACCATTATTACATCCCTTCATCACCACTGTAGTAGCTGCTCCTCCAGTGTGCAGGTTCATCATCATCACAGCCCGTTAATCAAATAATATTGCAGTAACCAAGCATGGGAAAATATAGAACAAATAGCAGCAAGGGGAAGACAAAGACTAAGCTGGATGGTAAAAGAGAACATGACAAAGCAACTTAAAAGGAATAAAAAAGGCAGAGAGGAAAAAGAAAGAAGAAGAAATCATGCATGGTGGTTTGTGTTCTATATGAATGACTGGATGAACATGTGATCATGTAATCTGTGGGCTAGCTAGGACTCTAAAAGAAAAAAAAGTAAGTGAACTGAACGACAGTATCATTAATAAACTCCTCAATCGTGGATGTACCAGATGCATCTTCTAGTGAAGCCAAAATGAAACCAACCAGAAGAAAAATGAGGCAGCATTTTAAATTTAAAGATAATAAATTATGATTTTCTATTAGCTAACTAAAAGGCACAAATATATTCTGAAAGCTATGCCTTGCATCAAAAGCCCTTTTTCAATCCTATTGAATGTTGCATGCTGCAAGAATCCCACATGATCATCTGACAGCCTACAATGCTAACAACGTGCAGCTGCCTTGGCGTCATCAAGCACAAATTTCCACAGCATCAAGAATCTGCATAATTGAAATAGTAACAAGGCATGCACAAGCAGGAAAACACATTTTCTAAGGAATATTTCCTGTCTCCTGATAAACAATTAATATTATAAAACAAGGAGATGGTATAAAGGACTATTTATGTAAGCAGTATTCCCTTAAAGAGAAAGTAGCCTTAGGAATCTCACTGTCATTGGCTAAGATAAAAGTAGAAGGTAGATGAAGAAAATGCACAAAATGCACATTAAAATGGGACCTTTCAGATACAGGGAACGATCTGTAAAAGCCTTAAGGGGTTCAATAGCTTTCATTAAAAATGAAGTTTACTAAAAATAAGCTCAAAGAAAAAAAAATTTTTTTGAATGTTCTTTTAGGTACCAAAGCATTGCACAGCACGAGTCGCAGGGGTTAAGTTCATGAATTGTCAGCACTGCAAACTATGCTGCTTTAAAATACCTACAGAACTAGTTCAGATAGAAAGGAGTATGAGCAAGTTTGCTTTCCCTAATTTTTTACTGGCCAACTTCTGTTCCTGCTGGTCTGGTACAGAATCAGTCCCCAAAGCAGTAAATCCAAGGAAAGACTGAATCTGCCTCAGGGCCATTAATAATCCCCAGGGGGAAGAGGAAACTAAATAAAGAGAAATTATTGTGACCTTTTTATTTAAAGCTCTGAACAAAGAGAGGGATGATGATATCAGGACACCAATGGACAGCCTCCAAACTCCAGATTTTTCGTGCATCACAGACCATCCTTTTGGTGCCTTTCCAACTCTGCGGGATGAAACTTCCCATGGCTGCTGAAGTGATGATGTAAGGTTGTCTTCCAAATTGCAGAGTGTTTAACACCACACATGAATTCAAACTGCCACAGTGGTGACTTTGTGGGCAAGACATGGTCTCCATCAGCACCCACAGCTTTTGTATTCTCAACTTACTGTAATTTACTGTGTCTTTCAGACATTTCCTGTTCTTAAGGCTAAAAAACTTCTGCTCCTTGAGAAAGCCCAACACCCTCCGGCTCAGGGGTATCTGCATGGGATGGAATATGCAGCTCTCAGAGCCCACTGAAACTCTCCATCAACATCCTGATGTTCTTGAAACTGACTGCTCCTGCCAGCACATTGGCTTATTTTCATCATTTCACCACCACATTCTCAAGGTGAGTCCCTGTGCTTGTCCACTGAAGTGTCAACAGTGTTACTTTTTTTAATACTTGGTCAAATTAATAAAACCCATTCCCTTCAAGTTTCTTTGTAACCAATCAATAGCTTAATAGAGCTTAGAAGGCAACTTCTGAGATTCTAATTATAGCAAGACTTTGATTCAAAGAACCCCCTCTCATCCCCTCCCCAAATCCCACTCTCATGTCAATTCATTTCCATATAGAGAATTCAGAAGTTTATCAGCTCAGCAAACTCAGGATCAATTCTCCTGGTCTACATTCAAAAAAATTAGGCATCCAGGGTCCTTCCAGAACCAGCTAATGAAATGGATGGGCATTGTCAAGTCAGGCTCACTTACAGATTAAAGGTATAAAAACCACCTCTGATTTTCTTCTCATGTACAGCACATCTATTCCATAAACTACCCAGTTTTATAATTCTGTTCATGTACTGAAAGTGGGGACGCAAAATTGCCAACATTTTACAAAATTACGTGCAAGGGGGAGGTGAGAGGGAAGGGAAGGAGAAACACAACATGATTTTTGGTGAGAAAGCACACAAACTGATCTCTATCATTTGACAAATACAACTTTCTAATATACAGTTGCAATCATGAAAAGAACAGCATCACAGCCTGGAAAATAAAAAGATAGGCTTGAAAAAATCAGATGTGTAGCATTTCTTCTCATTTATGTTCCCTAGAAGCAGGAAACCTGCAAAAATCCTATGGCTTGAGTAGCTTAACTTGTTCAAGCAACCACAGAAAGCAAATTGATTCTCCCCACACACCTCAGTGCTGCAGAGCAAAGAACCAGCAGCAGGAAAAGGGGGAAGACAAACAAGCACACAAAAAAATGAACTGAATTTACAACCTGCACACCCTTTCTCCCAGAAAATTTGCATTCCCAAGAAAAGGAGGCAGAAGAGGGGCAGAATTTAACCTCTGGCTCTTTGCAGTGCTGCTTTTTTTGCTCACTTTTCTATACCAGGGCTGTCTGTGCCAGCCAGGGTGGACTCTCCACCGAAGGTCTGTTCACAGTCCACCTGCTTCTGGCAGGCAAAGTGGTGCCAAATGTAAAACTAGGTCAAAATTTCTCCCCAAGAGTCTTCTTGGCAGCATCTCTTTGATCCTGGAGGTGTTGTAAATACTTAGCAGCAGAACACAGGGTACAGCAACCAGTGACAAATGAAGGTGGCATTACATTAGGAGCTGCTCAGAGGCCTGAGCTCAAGCAAGAAGAGGAATTTCTTCCCAGGCTCTTCCCAGTGCACAGCTCTCTGTGAGGCCAGGCAGTCCCTGTTATCTGTGAATGCCAAATTTCAATAGGTAAAATCCCTGAAGTCCATTTCTGTCCCATCCCAAACCAAAATTCAACAGCCTCCATTTCAGAGAGAAATCCTCAGAATATGACCAGTTCCATATGGTGGTAATAAAATGAGTAATTCTAAAATCAATAGCTCATTATTTAAATAGGGCAAGCACTGCTTTGACTTTGGCTGTGTAAGGCCAAGATTCATTGCAGGCAAAGTTAAATGCAAAAGGCATCCTATCAAGTGCAGGACGTTTCCGTGTGGAGGACAATCATAAAACTTCAGGTCAAAATAACAGTCAATGTAAATCTCTGCTTTACTCAAGCAGCAGATATTATAAAACATGCTTGTTCATCAGTTCATGTAGTTTCCTTAACAACTTAAGGCTCAAGAACTGTGCAGAGCTGTTACAATTTCCATAATTTTACAAACTGACCAATGGAGAAAGGGAAATAGAAGGATTTGCCCATGATCAGACAGATATGTGAGTTTTGAACTCAGCACTGTTCCACATAACAACCATCATTTGTGTGGGCTTTTCTAAACAGCAGGAATGTCTGCTTTGCTAACAGCCCATTAGGATAATATCTCAGGAAGGAAGGAGAAATGTCAAGTCTTTCATAAAGACCTGTATGAAGAAAATAAAGGTTGGAGTGTAGGTTCCTGCTGGAGGCAGGCCCACAAAACCTGGCTTCCTGTTCTCATCAGGGATAACTACACCCTATCTTAAGGCATGACTTATTCCATAAGGTAAAGTACTAAATTACAGAGGTAGAGACTATCAGGACTACAGGATGTGTTTAGGCAAGTTCGTGACAAGTGTTTCATTGCTGATTTCAGTCTGAAAAACAGCAAGTAGACAATCCACTGAAAATTATCACCATTATCTGGAAACAAAAATGGTTATTTGGTCAATTGTCAGTCTCCCCCTAAGGCAGAGGAAAAAATGAATGTAAAAAGGAATTATTTTCCTGATTCCCTGCAGTCATTCATCCCCTGGAAACATAACCCAATCTTTTCAGCTCCAGTAGCCTGGGAGTCCACAAGTCCTTCAGTAAGGACTTGCTCTCCCCTTGAGTGAGAAGTGGCCCTCGCTCTCTCCAGGTTCACTTCTTTCAGTTGGCTGAGTAAATCTAAATCTCTTCATTAGCCATTTTTCCTCTCCTCAGCACTCTTGCAATTGCAATCTTTTGGAAAGATCTACTGAGTTCACAACAAGATACATCCTAGAAGAATAAAGTGTTCTGCCAGGTGCAATAAAATGATATCTAAATCATTCCATAAATTTATATGCAATGTCTGGAAGCAGTCACACTAATTCCTTTCAGGATAAGATGGCCAATTCATGGTGGTTATGCTCAAGCCAGAGAAGGGCATTTGGGAAATCTGCTCAAGAGGAGGAGCCCTTTGTGCATTATCCAACAGTCAGTCCCTGTTAAAGGCACATCAAAAATATTCTTTGCCTTTTTTCGGGAAGTAACCTGTCCTGATACCACATAAAATGGAAATTATGTCTACAGCAAACCTTATTGTAGGATATAGCAAACTTTCAGTGGGAAAATATTTTCTGTTACTGCTGGAAGGGGTCAACCTTATAATTTATAGTCAACTACTCTAATGGCTTCAGGAAAATTGGCTAATCCTACTAATTAAGGCCTTCAAGATTAATGACGACACTTTCTGTGATTGCTCAAGTTTCCCATGCATCAATCATCCACTTTTAGGTCTCACATAAGAGCTCCCACAGCTCTCCTGTGTCAGGCATGGCAGCAATCACTTGCTCAAGAGGCAGCAGCTACAGCAGCGAGTGGGTTCTGTGCACAGCAGATAGGAAAATACACAGGCTGTCCCTAAAAAACCCACTGGC